TACCATAGCCAGTTCTGTCTAATGCTGCTGTAAGTGAACCTATCGAGATACATCTAGACAATGTAGACAATCTGTGTGAATGTTGTAGACATGCCACTTGATTCGGTACAGTAGGGGACTCGCCGGACACAACTATATTTAGAAAATTAGGTGTCGGTCAGATACATGTTGTGGTAGGATTCCACTAGGGCATTCTAGTGCAGACACTATCTGCCTAACTAATGAGTGGGTCAGACCCTGTTGATGATAGAGCTGACAATAGGAGAATAACACGTGCAGAGGCACTAAGGGTACCGCACGTGTTCCAGGCCTTAGAACCGGGAGAAGAAAGACGGCTACGAAGAGCCCATGCTCTAGCAGCGGGAATACAGGAAGCACACAGAGCAGCAAGAGAGCAGGCAACATCAGCCAGAGCAGCAGCGATGGCTAACGGCGCAAGCTCTGCTGCGTCATCGTCTGCGTCCTCGTCAGGGACTAATGGGACTCATTTGGGAATGCCAATAAGTTCCACAAGTTCTACGGGGACTTCCAGTTCAACAGGATCTAGACAGTCTTCTAGTCAAATGGCGGTCTTGCAGTTCAGCCCGTTGACCCCACGTGAGAGGGAGCTCAGAGAGATCCAACAGGTCGAGAGGCTTCGCCAGAAGTTAGAGGAGGATCTGAAGAAGGCAACCGATAGAGAAAAAGAGATAAAGAATAGAGCAGCCAGGCTTGAAACATTAGAGGCTGACAAGGCTGAGTTAGAGGGTTTGGATGAGTCAACATTGACTGACCCGTTGAAAACGCTGAAGAAGAATATGTTGTCGTTGCATGCGCACGTGGACAACAGATTAGATTTCATGCAAAGCACTCTAGACCAGATCTTGGACGCATTGACAAGGCCAGGATTCCGGCCACCAGCACAATCGCCGTTGCCGTTATCGGCGATGTCAGGCCCCTTTCCAGTTCAAGCTGGTACACAACCAAGTGGTACGTCTGCAGCAGTCGCACAGTCTGTTGCATCTTCTTCTTCGGGTCCAGCGGTGGGAGCTACACCACCGCAACAACCTGTTCCTCAACAGGGACAGCCGCAGGGTCAACGGTATCCTAAGACCCCAATGAAACCGCCTCTTGCCTTCTCAGGTGAGAGGAAGGACGAAGAACTCAACACATGGTTGAGGACAGTCCGGGTTTGGGTAAAGGCCAAGAGGACCTTGCTAGAGGACAAAGTGGTAATTGCTGCGTCTTACCTCGAGGATAAGGCAACCAAATGGCTAGATGGTGTAGTTGTAAAGGCAGGGTACGGGCGACGCGTGGTGGACTGGGCTAAGTCTCTAACGTTAGACCAGTTCATGGAAATGGTAGAAGCTCGATGGCATAATCCACAGGAGGCACAAAGAGCCACTGATGCGATTAACAAGCTGGACCAACGAAAGTTCAAGTCGGTTAGAGAGCTTACGACTACCGTTGAGAGCCTGATCCTCGTCCCAGGCATCAACTACAGTGACCAGTTCCTGTTAACTACGTTTGTTAGATGTTTACCAGAGAACATCAGGAACTTACTGGCCAGCGAGGCACGCACTGAGTACCATTCGTTTGAGACACTGTCTAGGAAAGCCTTAGATTTGGAGGCCACGCTAGGCAATGCTCAACCAACCTCTCAGATTGACACGAGAAAGAAGGAGAGTCCTCAGGAGTGGAAGAAGAAGGGGGCTAAGTTGATGATGGTTGAGTCCGATGGGACTCAAACGGAGATCGACGAACTCACTGACCTGATGGACTATACAGAGTTTGACGGCGAGGAGGTAGCTGAGGGTAGCACCCTCGCCGCGGTAGTCAAGACTAAGGCAGGTGGCCGAGGGAAGGGCCAATCTAGGAATCAAGGAAAGGCCGTCTCCAATCAGACCAAGCAAGTTGAATGGGTGAAGGCAGGTCTTGACCAAGACGTGTGGCGTGACCGCCGAGTGCGTGGCACTTGTATCAATTGCGGGGAATACAGACACTCGCAATACAAGTGCCAGAACGCAAAGGTTACGCAAAAGATACCTCCAAAGATGGGGGCATCCTATTCCCAGGCTTCTAGCTTGGGAAACGCGTGAGGCCAGTGGAAGTATTAGCTGCTTCTACTCAAGATGAAGTGGGCTTGATACCCTCCCCACTTTATGACAAGGCCAAAGCTAATGACTCCTTAGCCACCCCGCAGACACAACTAGACCAAACTATGCTCTATACGTTAGATGTGTCTGAGGCCTTGGAAGACTTAGAAGGTGAGTGGTCAAACAAGGACCCTCGCGAGTCTTGGGTGGCACTGAAGAAAGGTCCTAGAGGGGAACATTTCGTGGTGGAAGTGGATGTAGGAGGCCGCAAATGTGGTGCCTTCATAGACATCGGATCCACGCGGAATTACATAAGTCGCAACTGTTTGGAAAGCTTGCACCTACAGGACCGGGTACGACACCTTAGTAGACGTGTAGCATCTACTTTGGCCAACAAGGAGCGCATGATCGTAACAGACTACATCAGGGACGTAGTCTGTACCTTCTCCTATGGAGGAGGCGAACTTAACCATAAGATCTCGTTCTTGGTTAGCGACGACTTACCATTCGACATGTTATTAGGCATGTACTACCTCGAAGTTGCTAAGTCCCAATTTGACTGGGATAAGAAGGTGCTCAAGCATAAGTTGCCCGATGGCCGAACTGTCAGATTGACTATGTTCAAGGCCAGTAGCATTATAGATACCTATGGCTGCTTGTGCGCATCAGCGTTCTACAATTATTACAAGCAAAACGAAGAGGAGGGTATGTACCTTGTGTTTGTCTCTGAGAAAGGGGAGGTCGTTAAACCACCAGTACCCTACGAGCCACCTTCCCGAACCTCTTTTTTTTGGGGCTACCAAAGCTCTTCGTTTTATGTGAACGCAACTGGTAGAGTAGCGGGTGACCGGTCCTTCAATGTGGGCGCCCGGTACTTGGTGTTTCTTCCTTTCTCCGATTGTTTTTTTTTTTTTTCCCTGTTGTTTTGTTGAAAGAAAAAAAAAAATCCGTGTTGGGCAGTCTCGACCGAGGAAAGAGCTGCCAACGACATCGGTGGCAGGCCTGAGGGCTTCGCTCCACTACTTGCCCAAAAAAAAAAAAAAATCCGTGTTGGGCAGTCGCGACCGAGGAAAGAGCTGCCAACGACATCGGTGGCAGGCGTGAGGGCTTCTCTCCACTACTTGCCAAATATGCAAAAGAGGAATGAATCTTTAGGTAGAACAGTGGAAATATACACAGCCATGATTCTTGTCTCTTGTGCATGTGGTGAGCAACGGAGCCAGGCCCGACAAATCTCGTAGGACTTGCGACCCGTCAAACGTGCCATTTTCAGGGGCAGTACGCCATGTTTCCGGGGCAACTTTTTTTTTGTGGGACCATATCTCATGCTAATCTGCTCTGTATCGTTCCGAGTTATGCACCAAGTTCATTCTCATGTGGACAGAGTATAGCTGCCCACTACGTCCAGAAAAGACAAACTTTGTACTGTACCCTTGTTTTTTTTTTCTTTTTTTGACCATATCTCTATTTATGTGTCATCCTTGCCCTGGGCCTCTGTATTGTTCGAAGTTATTGCACAAGATGCATTCCCACTTTGAACAACTGGAGGCAGTGCAGCTGCCCGACCTCCTCGTTTTAGGACTTACAGCCCGTCAAACGTGCCATTTTCAGGGGCAGTACACGCCGTTTTCGGGGCAGTTTCCTCCTCCCCCCCCCTTGTCTCGGATGTTTTCTTTTTTTTTACGAGCCAACACTGGCAGTACCCTCACTCCTCACCACACGAACAAAGGACAAACGTTCTTTTTTTCTTTTCTTTTTTCTGCTTTTGTTTTTTTTTCATTGTGAGAAATCATGATATTATGGTCACTGGTCGTTGCTTCTCGTTTTCAAAACGAACGACCTCCGTAGCTCTGTCGAGGCTCTACCCAGCCTCTACCGACCCTGCCCAGGCCTTCCATGAATTCAGGAAGAGCAAAAAGTTTGGTTGGGCGGGGTACTGGTGGTTTAAAACACCCCCAGAGATAGAATGCGTTGTTGCTAAGTTCCCTGATCTGCTCGAGGAGCCCACAGGAGTTGTTGAAAGGGAAGTCGTCCACGCTATAGATGAACTTTGGCGACAGCTTAAGGAGCTGACAGAGAAGGGATGGATCCGGCCTAGTACTTCCCCTTACGGATCACCCGTTCTATTTGTACCGAAGAAGGGAGGTACTTTGAGGATGTGCATTGACTATAGAGGCCTCAATGCCATCACAGTGAAAAACGCAGAGCCTCTATCTCGCATAGACGACCTATTGGATAGGGTGCAGGGATGCAAGTACTATAGCAAGATAGACTTGAAATCCGGCTATCATCAGATTGCTATAAGGCCAGAGGACCAACACAAGACAACTTTTCAGACTCGTTATGGTCTGTATGAGTTTGTAGTGATGCCTTTTGGTCTTTGTAACGCGCCGGGAACATTCCAGCACGCTATGAATCGGGTCTTCCATGACCATTTAGATAAGTTTGTCGTGGTCTACTTAGACGACATTCTGATCTTTAATAAGTCTGCCGAGGAGCACGCACAACATGTTGAGAAGGTACTCTCACTCCTGCGACAACACAAGTATAAGGTCAACTAAGAGAAGTGCGAGTTTGGCCGCACTAAGATACTAGGGTCATGAAGTATCCGCGAAGGGGATAAGGCCGGAAGATGCGAAGGTGGCTAGTATTCGAGACTGGCCACGACCTCAGACAGTCACTGAGGTCAGATCATTCTTAGGAATGTGCGGCTACTATAGAAACTTCGTAAAGAACTATTCTATGGTCGCCTCTCCTTTGACTGATCTAACTCGACTTGACACACCATGGGACTGGAGTGATGAGTGCGAGGGTGCTTTCAGGAGATTGAAGCATGCACTCATGAATCATGAGGTCCTCATGGTTCCCGATCCTCATAAGCCATTCATAGTGACCACTGACGCAAGCCAATACGGCATTGGCGCAGTGCTGGCTCAGCAGGATGGGAAAAAGTTGAGACCGATTGAGTACACGAGCAAGAAGATGCCATAAAAGAAGTTGGCAAAATCCACCTACGAAAGGGAACTCTATGCTCTGTATAAAGCACTTGTCCATTGGAGACATTTCCTATTGGGAAGGTTCTTCTACTTGAGGACTGATCATCAGACCCTCAAATGGATCAAGACTCAACCGGCTCTTTCTGACGCACTCAAGCGATGGATTGAGGTCATAGACCAATATGACTTCAAGCTTGAGTACTTGAAGGGAGAGTACAACAAGGTTGCGAATGCGCTATCCCATAGAGCAGACTACCTAGGTGCGCTAGTTTCTGACTTTGGCGTATCTGACGAAGTAACTCAATCATTGGTGGGAGCCTATCAGGAAGACCCTGTCACGATGGACATCATGCGCAAACTTCAGGCAAAAGACAAGGCCACAGAAAGTGAGTTTGTGATGGTGGACGGGTTACTCTATCTTGATAAGGCCGGAATAAAAAGGTTAGTAGTTCCATCTAGTGAACGTTTGCGTAGTTTATTTTTAGGCGAATGTCATGACGCAACCGGGCACTTTGGCTACAAGAAGACGAGTGCTAACTTAGTACAACGATTCTGGTGGCCTGGTATGATGGATGACGTGAAGAAGTACGTAGAGACTTGTCAGGTCTGTCAGCGGGACAAGCCGCGAACTCAAGCACCGCTTGGGTTGTTGAAGCCTTTGCCTATCCCTGCTGGTCCAGGACAGAGTGTCTCCATGGACTTCATGGACACCCTGGTGACTAGTAAGAGTGGCAAGAGGCACATCTTCGTCATCATCGACCGATTCACCAAGTACGCTAGATTAGTGGCTATGCAAGAGACCGCAAGAACTGACTACGTTATCAAGTTGTTCAAAGACAACTGGGTACGTGACTTTGGTTTACCAAAGTCAATCGTTAGTGACCGTGATGTCCGATTCACAAGTGAGCTGTGGAAGAAGACTGCAGAACAGATGGGCAGTCAACTTCAAATGACTTCAGGGAATCTTCCCGAAGCCAGCGGACAAGCCGAACAAATGAACAGGGTTGTACAGCACTTGCTGAGGCATTACATCAAGCCCAGCCAAGATGATTGGGATGACTAGTTGCCTCTCATCGCCAGCCTGTACAACAATGCTATCCATAGCAGTACCGGCGTTAGTCCTAATCAGCTGCACTTGGGATGGAAGCCTAGATCAGCACTAGACTTCCTCCTACCTGAAACCGACCTGACTAGAGTATGGTGTGCAGTATGAGAAGTTGCTGCAAGAGGCTGTCAAGCATATGAAGAAATCTCAGCAAGTAATGATTGCTTCTGAGAATCAACATCGTAGACAGTCCGCATTTCAGGTAGGGGAACGAGTCTGGGTCAAGGCTAGTGAGTTAGGACAGGAGTTCGGAATCTCTCGCAAACTAATGCCTCAGTACTTTGGTCCCTGGGAAGTCTTGGATATAGTGGGAGATGAGATGGATGGTCCCACATATGTCATTCGCGTCCCTGGACGCCTACGCACTCACCCAGTCTTTCATGCCTCCAATCTTGCACCTTTCGCTGAGACAGATCAATTCCCTTCCAAGAGATTGATGCTGCCCCCAACCATGGATGGACAAGTGGACATCGACGACATTGTGGATCACAGGGATATGCCTGTCCTAAACCCAAGAGAGAGTACCGCGTCAGATTCAGGCATCATACGGATCCAAAAGAAGATCGGTGGTTTACCAGGGAGGAACTGATTGAGACAGCTCCTCAGGTGGTGGCAGAATATGANGGATGATCGAATGAGCGGAGCTGGGGCCCGCTTAGTCATGTGGGCTACTTCCAGAGAGAGAGAGAGAGACAACAGCGAGCGAGCGAGCGAGCGAGGTAGAGAGAGAGAGAGAGAGAGAGAGAGAGAGAGAGAGAGAGAGAGAGAGAGAGAGAGAGAGAGAGAGAGAGAGAGCTCCTCCCCTCTTATTCAAACAATAAATAATAATAGTAATGTTGAATGGCTGAACCAGAACCAATGTCCAAATCCCTCTTCTACTGCAGGTATCACATGAGGTCCCCCATAGCCATGGGCGCCTTTCTCCTTCCTTCCTCAAAGGCCGAGGCTATGGCGGACTACCAGGGCATCCCCTGCTGTGCAAAGGACAACATAAAGCAGCTATGGCTGCTCTCGTTCAGGTCGCCATGCCTGACTCTGCCTTGAAGCTTCTTGGTGGAGCTCTACCCCAGCGCGGCCTTCCAGATGCATCCACCATAGCCAGGTAAGTCCCCTGGTGCTCACCTCTACTAGCCTTCTTCCTTCTCGTCCTGCCCGACTCTTTCCACCTTAGCCACGGTGGAGAGCTGGGCGCTCCTCCTCCTCCAAGCGCTGCCTGCTGCTAGCGCTGGTCCGCCGGTCGCTCCAGCAGCGTGTTGCCAAACTTGCATGCCAACAATGAGGAGGAGCATTTCGCTCCTCCTGGAGATATAGCGGCCTGCTTGCCTCTTGGGCGATGACTTCCGAGGCCGCGCGAACTCCAAGCAACCAGTACCTCCTCCCTTCCGAGGGAAACATCATTGCAGACTCTGCTACGGATCAGACTGGTTGGACTGGTATTCGGGTAGACCTAGTCTACAACTACTGGGCCGCTAAGAATGCCAACTTTGTCTTCTTCTGCTCGTCCTCGAGTACCCGGCACATCTACCTCTACTTGGTGTGGTACCGACCTACCTGCTTCTTGAGTGTTTTCTGCTGCTCTTGGTGTCGCGGGCCTCTTTCCCCGCCACTTGACTGTGTTTCCCCGCTGCAACCCTCAATGTCACGGGCACAGGTAAGCACCGGCCTTTCGGGCCTTTCCGATCAACCAAGTGCCGTTGCAGGTCACACACACACTCAAGCCGACAGGCACTCAGACAGGCACACAGACCAGCAAGCACGCACCCACAGAGACTTAGAAAACTCAGTAACAAGCGTGAAACTCACAAAGGCATACATTCCACGAGCGAAACTCAGCTGTGTGTCTCGGTCCGTGTTTGACAGGTCAAAATTGCGAAAGGGGCTTCATGGCTACGCGCTGCTTAAAATTGTTCCTGTTGTACGGATGTGACTTCTATTGCAGGAGCTGTTAAAAACCATGGCAGGGGCAACCACAACACCTGCAGTGATTGAGATGATGGGTGAAGTAATGTACGGACTATGCAGTCGATATCGCGCATCGACGGAGGGTGCAATGCTTGCAACGTTGAAGTCTGTCGACTTTCCAGCACGAATTGGAACACTGACAGAAACAGACAAACAGCACTTTGCCAAGGCGGCAACTCGAGATCCTCTCATGCCAAAACAGCGGTTCCTAGGTTGGTGAAAATTCTCATCCCACGCCGTCGTCCTCTTGTCATGCATGATCAATTCTGTATGATATTTGTGGTGCACGCTTGTTATCTTAGCTCTCTCTCTCTCTCTCTCTCTCTCTCTCTCTCTCTCTCTCTCTCTCTCACACACACACACACACACACACACACACACACACACACACCACATCTAGATGTGTATAAGAGACAGCCCCCCCCCCTCGCCCCCACGGAAAAAATCCAACGTTCAAACTTCAAAGTTTCAATACGGAATCCGACAGATCTCGTTGAGCACAGTCGGATCCCGCATGCAAAAAAAAAAAAAAAAAAAAAATTGGGCAAGTTTTTGGCTAAACCGGTTTTCTGGTTGCGCCCCCTTCGACCGGACCAGGCCTGGTTAAATCCGGCGTCGCTCAACAGGCCGGTCGCCGGTCCAGCCCTGTTTGTAATCGAAAAAAAAAGCATCTTTATGCGTGTTGTATGATGTACTCGTGCACATAGTGTACAATGTAATGCACTGCTCTCCGGTGCCACGAATATGACTATCAAATTCATTTGATTTTCTCATTCTGGGAGAGCAGCTGGTTCTGTTGAAATGCGTTGGTTGAAGAACGCTCGCTCACGTAGATTATTTGAGTGAGTGGTCTGGATTCAAGTTTTTTCTGGCAGCAGATCATTTTCAGCCATATCCTTTTCCATTCTGTAGAATTTGAGTTAGCGCTGTCCATCATATCTCTGAACCTCTCTTCCTCGTTCTCCCCCTGAGCAGTCAAATTCAGACCGAGCATACTTACCAGGGCGATTGTTGCTCTCTCTCTCTCTCTCTCTCTCTCTCTCTCTCTCTCTCTCTCTCTGTGTGTGTGTGTGTGTGTGTGTGTTTGGCGTGTGTGTGTGTGTGTGTGTGTGTGTGTGTGTGTGTGTGTGTGTGTGTGTGTGTGTGTGTGTTGTGTGCCGGCACGTGTGTGCTTGTGTTGTGCTTGAGCCTTGTATCCAGATTGTGGTGATGGTGGGGCCATATGGATCTACTGAGATGAACAACACTCTTTCATGGATGTTATCAGAAGTGATGGCACTGATTCCGGCATTGGAGCAGAACATAGCTGAAGTCACGGCTTCTGATGTGGGGACCACAGCATTTGCGAAAGCAAAGGGGTCAAAGCGACGAGATCGGAAGCAGAGGGAGCCATTGGAGGCAATGCGAGCTGTATGCGGCCTAGCACGCAGTTTCCTTCATTGGTGCCCATCACTTTTGCTTCCATCTCCAGCATTTCTGCAGCTCTGCCATTCAGCAATTGGTAAAGTTGTCTTCTACCGCTTGAACGAACTTAGAGCACTTCTACGACTGGCAGTGTCTTGAATGCAGAACACAACTTTCTGGCCAGAAGGGTGTAAAAAATGGTTATAGAGAACTTTGATAAACTTCTGAGCAAGTCTGAAAAGGATGAATTGTCATGACAGTGTGGTGCAAAAGTGATTGGGTGGGATTCACGCAGAGGATTTCGGTGTTCAACCTAATGAAGAAAGCAGGCACATGGGTTCTTGTTCTTGTGATAGTTTTACTCTTTTAAGTTTTAACTTTAAACTTTTAAGTTTTAACTTAAAAGTTTTAACCCTACAGGGTGAAGCTCCACTAAGTTGCCACACTAGCTGAAAACTTGATTTCTATTTGGTGTGTGTTTTCAGACTTGTACTAGATTTTTAAAACTTCATGAGAATGCTTCTCGAGTTCTCCCTTCCTAAAAAAATCCTCTTTCTAGGGCTCTACTTACTGCACTGGCTTTGTGCCTAAAAAAACAATAAAAAAATAATAAAATAATAAAAAATAAATCTACTTCCAGTTCGCAGTAGGGAAGCTGCTGGATTTGATATGCTCGTCCTGAGAGCCAGAGGCTAGCGGCAGCAAACAAACAAGACGCGAGTAACGAAAACACGTGAATGCTATGAAGGATTTGATACTACAATGGCAATGACAATAGGAAGCAAGGCTTTAAGGCGGAGCGAATCCTGAAACATATCAATAGATGGGTAATCAACTCCCATACGGTCAGTATCCGCCGATTGTTGTTTAGTCACCTGTCCCCCAATCAATATCAATAGATGGGTAATCAACTCCCATACGGCTCTTCTTTCAGTTCTCTCTTATCAGGTTTTGCCATCCTATCATATTCAACTATTTTTCTAGGCTACCAGCCGGGCCGCCCGGGTCACCTTGTTTGCGCGGGTTGCCCGGCCGTGCAAGGGCCAAAGAAGGTCCCAGCTATTAAAAAAAAAAAAAAAACTATGCTACGTAGAAAAATAAAGTGAACAACTTTTGCCTCAGGGTGAAATTCTTACCAAAAAAAAAAAAAAAAAAGTTTACAAATTTTTTTTGGCCTGACTGGGCAAGTGGGTAGCCTATTTTTGGATTTCTTTTTCATGTTGTGCCCATCTTTTCAGCATCATTCGGACTCAGATGGATCTCCCACAGTACAGGATATTCTTTCCTTGTTGTGGGGGAGTAAAAAAGAAAACTGAAGTTGTCGGCATCGCAGAGCTGAGTTATGAATCTTACAACTCTACCTGAACCCCAGAAGTCTGAGTGGAGTGACTGTCTTAATGTTGACGCTGAGCGACTGACTGGTCGGTGGAGCTGCTGCCGTGAAGTTCCTGTCCATCCATTAAGGGACCAGTACATCTGTGCCTCTTTTTTAGGAGATGGATTCCCACTGCACGCCAAGCTTTGCCGAAAGGCCAGCGTGACATTTTTGTTTTAGTTTTGGCTGGTGCCGCCAGCCATTTGGTCCGGATGCCGCAAGCCGCCGATTTTTTCGGAGAGGCTTAAAAAATCGTGATTCTCAACAAGCCTGGGGCCATGTGCTGGTGGTTTAAGTCAATTTAATTGCTTTTTGAATGTGTTTGATGGGAATGTCCTTTTTGAAAAAAACTCGTTTGACACACCCTGCGCACCGGAGGGTGGCTGACACAAACTGCTGGATGGTAATGTGCAGGGTGTGTCAAGCGAGCCGAGATAGATTCTACCCATTCGGCTCTTATGTTTTTGGCCGAGGCAGTACAAGGCGTTGCCGTGGAGAAAGTTGTGGATAAGGAGGGAAGATCATGGCAACTTCCCGAATCATTGAGGCACAACGTTGACACTGCGATGGGGTTTTACGGCGCTTTCCTTGTTGAGGTGAGTCTACGCACGTGCTTCTCCCCATGAATAGATCGGAGCATTAAAAAATAAAATAAAAAAAGAGGTGAGTCTACGACTGGTCCTTTCGCCTCCATGGTTTGCAACGGAGAGCAGTTGTTAAAAGTTAAAGGTTAAAACTATTAAATCATTGAATGCCTTTTCGGGCTTTTCGTTTTCGTTTTCGTTCTCATTTTTGGTCCTGGAAGCATTAGGGACAGACACTTGTTCTTCTCAAGGGAAGGGTCCTCAATTCAAATAGAATGAGTACAAGTCAATCGAGCGGGATAGGGGAAGAGTGTGACAGTGCTTCCCTCGGTGACTTTATGCGTTGTTCGTACACTCCTGAATCCTGCCTCACTGTGCTCGCGACAAATGCACTATTGGCTTGGTTCTCCTCTCTCTCCTCTCCTAAAATCACAGTTCTTCCTTTATTAGCTTCTCCTTCATTCGTACACTCCTGTGACACACGTCTTGTCACTCTTGTGTCACTTCACTCAGGATAGATGCACTCGCTTCTTCATCCTCCTCTCTCTCCTCCCCTTCTCCTCTTGTAAACCAGCGTCCCTTGTGTTTGGTTCCTTGACTTGGCTAGCGATTCTTTGGTTTATAGATCTGCCGCAGGCCGGTGAGCTGCCTCGGTTATCAGTCCGGGTGTTTGGCGAGTCGGTGGCAACCAATTCACATGAAGTTCCAAAGTTCCAGGCCCCTGAGTGGTGGTTCCGTCTGCCAAGTACCATATCCAGTTATGTCTTTTTTGTTTTTCTCTTTTGCCTTATATATCCGGTATCCGGTATCCGGTATCCGGTTCATACTTGCAACCTCACCGCGCGCCGTTCTGTGCGGTGCGCCGCACGGCGTGCGGCGCGACACCCTGCTCGTGCGCCGTACCAGCAGCAGTTTTCGTTTTTTTTTTGCTGCTTTTGTTTATACAGCAGACTGCACCACCTAAGGAACAGATCTTTTTCAAGTATAGTCGTATTTTTCTTGCCGTCCAATTGGGCATGAGACATAGCCTCAAATAGGTGTCTAGGACATCAGTCTTGAGGCTTGACCTTCAGGTAGCGGCATTACTCTCCCACTAGGATTTTAAATTTTTCCCCGCATCCCACAACAAATCTTCAAAGGGGACGCAGGTGATCATTGACCCAGGCATGCGACCCCTTTGTTTTCTGAGTGATTATTTCCCCCATGCCCCGCACATGCCGTGCACTGCACTGTGCGTGCCCACTCGTGCGCCAAATGTGTGGAATTTTCCGCACGGCGTGCGCTTGCATGTATGATCCGGTTATGTCAGCTTATATGACAATCTCAAGTAGGTTCAGCAAGGTCTTTAACAAGCTTTGAAAGTTACATCTCGAAAGGAGTCTTATTCCATTGGATCAAACCCAACCACACACCATCAAATCTTCACGAGTCGATTAGATCCAACCATACCTAGCTTGCACTATGCACTATGTGCATGCAGTGTGCACATATGCAGTGCAGTGTGCACATATGCAGTGCAACACACACAGGGTGGTTCTCTAAATCCTTTGCACACAAAAGAGGAGGGGGGCAGGGGGGGATGGAGCTCAAGGAGGGCCGTGAGAGGCTGTACATGCAGCACCCACATTCACAAGACACACACTGGGTGTCCATGGCTGAGTGCGTGTGTAGAGTGGGTTTTATGACTGTGTCAGACTAGTTTCTCAGACTTGCTGCCGTTCGTGTCAGGGGCTTGGACCGGACGGAAAGTCAGCTAGAATTGCAGGGTTGGTGTGACTAAAGTCAACCACTTTTCTCAGGCGTGTCACGAACTCTGGGCGATGCGGTGAGTCCTTATCCATCAGTCAAATGCACCCTGGGCAGACTGTCGGGGTTCAACCTCCTGATGAGTTGGTGAAAGTCTGCCGAAACTGTCTGGCACAGTCATGCTTTTTTGAGTGTATCGCGAATTCGATATAACACACACACACACACACACACACACACACACATGGGCTTTTTTGTTAGTGGAGCCTTTTGCGTTATGTTGTTTTGTGGGCCGAGGTGGAGGGCTCTCCAAGTTTTTTCGGACCTATTGTGGATGGGGTCGGTGCTTTCCTGCGGGTGGAGTTCTCTGTCTTAGGTAAGTTGATTCTTGCCCTCCACCCTTTTATGGATGAAATAAATATATGCATATAATACCATATATGTATATGTGTAAGTGTGCCACTTCGACGGCAGACGGGTGTGTGGGCGCTCAGCGCTGAACCACACAAACGTGGCCAACCTTGCATTTTTTATTATATTGTCTATCTATGCTTTTTCGTTATGGATGGTTTGTTATGATTTGTGGAGGAAATTAGGGAGAGAATTTGGGTTGCTTTAACAAAACACACACACACACACGGGCTTTTTTGTTAGAGGAGCCTTTTGTGTTATGCTGTTTTGTGGGCCGACGTGGAGGGCTCTCCAAGTTTTTTCGGACCTATGGCGGATGGGGTCGGTGCTTTCCTGCGGGTGGAGTCCTCTTGTCTTAGGTAAGTTGCTTCTTGCCCTCTACCCTTTTATGGATCAAATAAATATATCTACATCTACATCTACAATACTATATGAATCGCTAACGTCATATCTACCGGCCCAGGTTGCGGCCCGGTCACCACCCGCAGACGGCCCAGATCGCAGGACGATGAGAAACTTTTCTCATCGGCCTGCGATCTGGGGCGTCAGCAGGTGGTGACCGGCCCGCAATCTGGGCCGTGCGATACCGGTTCGGCCCGCCCAAACGGCCCTTCTGAACGCGTGCCCGCGCCCAGCCCTGAAATCGCCCTTCGAAGGGGCGGGCTTCTCAATCGTCTCGGGCGCTACGGCACGCGACGGCACGCTACGGCACGCGACGTGCTCATCGTGCTCTCTCTCTCTCTCTCTCTCTCTCTCTCTCTCTCTCTCTC